TCCGCGACGCCGCGCTACGAGAGCGCCCGCAGCCACGCCGCCTACAAGAAGGGGAGAAAAGGCCCGCGCACTTACCAGGTAGGCCGTTGTAGACCTCGAGCGCGTTCCAGGACCCCGTCCGAGATCAATTTCGAAAGCTCGCCGCGCGCGTCCGCGGTCTTGCGCTCGTCGCGCATAAAATGATTGGCCAGGCGTCGGCGCTTCACATGGACGCGGGCGCGCCCCGTCACCTTCCGCTCGCCGCAGCTCCCAGCGAAGCTGCAGTAGTGGGCGACACCGACGACAGCGGCGAAGCCCGTCGCCCTGCGGGAGAACGGAAGCCCATCGAGCCCCTGCGCGGCCAAGTCGTTATTGATGGCGACAAACCTGCGTGCAACCATCCTCGCGGCAGCGCGCTGGGCGTCCAGGGGCGGGCGCCCGCCCCTGATGCGCTTGGCGTCGAGCCTCTTCTCGGCGCGGCCCCGGGGGATGGCGGGCAGGGGGCGGCGAGCGAGGGCACGCGCGCGCGATCTATCGCGCGGCGGCCAGCCGCGACGAAAACAATGCAAGGAGGGCTCCTCGGGGCATTCGGAGCTCCTTGGAGGCTCCCTGGGTCTTCTCGCGGGCGCCCCGGGGGCGCGGGGGGGGTGGCCAAGGCCGCCTCGGGGAGAGAGGGTAGACATGTTTGTCAAAATTGCCCCCCCTCCTGGGCCCTTTCTGGGCCTTTTTGGAGCTCTTTTGGGCCGTCTTGGGGGCCCCCGCGGCCGCCTCGGGGCCCTCCGCAATTGTCTTGCAGCACTCGGGGGCTTTGGCCTCTTGGGCCGTCTTGGGCAATGTCAAGACGACAAGTGTGAGCATGCTAAAATATGCGTTCTCCTGCGGGCATGGCGATGGCTGCCTCCTGGGGCCCTCTGGGCGGCCCTCTGGGAGCATTCTTGGGCCGTCTCGGGGTCCTCGTAGGCGGTCGCGAATCGTCTGGGACCGCCGAGGGGCTGCCCCTGGCCGTCTCGGCGCTCAAGATTGGATTATCTCGGCGATCTGTCTGGGCGCGTTTGGGCCGCCCACGGGATTTGGAGGCCCCTGGGGCCCCGGGAGAGGCGCCGGCGAGCTCGCGCCCCCCCCCCCCCAGGATGGCGCTCTGGATCGGGGGGCAGCCACATGTCCCGCGCACCGTGTCGCCCCTGGCAGGCGAGGGTCAACAGATGCACATGCCGTTGTTCGTTCTCAGCTCCATGTTGCGCGAATATGTTTCAAAAAGCACCGCGGCGTTTGTATTGGGCCTGTTAATGTATGGATGCAGAATTGCCAAGGCGAGCTGCGTTACTTGCATGGGCGAGATGTTCTAACCATCTCCTTCTTGCACACAGAACCCTTGATCATGTTGTATGCGGCGTTGAGTTGTAAATTTCGTTCCAGTGGCATGCGCCATTGAGAATGGTCGTCCTGAGATAGAGGCGGGGTCATGCAGCGTGCAAGGATTCGTCAATTCCAACGCTTGTAGGACTCACCCGAACGTCATCCAATATGTCTGGGGGTGTTGTTCGACCAACCTGTGTCATGAACGTTCGTGCACACATCCATATGCTTCATATTCGCACAACCGAATGTGTTCAGTCTCTGGCATGTTGTATTGGGTGTTGTACTGATGCGGCATGCCATAGTTTGTTTAACTTGTATATGTACCCGAGCATTGCACTATTACGTTTCATTGCTTCGAAAATTGGTGAGCGTTGCGTGCCAATGTATAATGATGCAGCGATGTATTTTTTCACGGCCCGTCCGATGCACTCTGCAATAGTTGGTTCCCTATGTTTTTCCGCAGTGAACTGCAAATGTGTCTTTTCTGTTGGAATGACAGTTTTTTGCTTGTAATGGTTTGCGAACAACTTTGTTGACTATGGTGTTCCATGTATAGTAAGACGAGTGTGGCCATTGAATTTAACACTTTCGTTTTTTCGTGATACGAAACTTTGGATGTGAACCTCCTGTTGTGTTCACCCGGGTGTCACGAACAACTGTGCAGTTGTTTGTGGCTTTTGGTAAATATTCGAGGACTGTCATAAGAAAATGGCAGCGGTTCGATCTTCTTTGAACTGTTGTGGTTATGTTGTATTGCGTTTGCCATGTCATCACTTCGCTCATTCCGGCGGCCCAGATTGCGGACCGCGGTCGACTGGCCGAATGGTCGTCGGCAGCGCGGAGCTGCAGGAGGCGGCGGCTGTTTCTCTGAGGCGTTGCGTTTGGCACTTTGGGGTTGAGGCAGCTCTCGCGGATAAGCTTCGCGTCGATTCGCTCGGGTCGTGGACAAACGCCTCTTTGGGAGTCGTCGTGGGGTCTTTTGGGAGGCCTCTCTGGGGCCTTTTGGCGGTATGTCTGAAGCGTCCTGGGGCCTCTTAGAGGGCCTCTTAGGGGGCCTTTGGGGGGCCTTTGGGGGTCTCTTAGGGGTCTTTGGGGGGCCTTGGGTGGCCTTAGGGTGGCCGTTTGGAGGCCTTGGGGGGGCGTCTTAGGGGGCTTCAGGGGGCCTCAGGGGGCCTTTTGTGGGCCTCTCTTGCAGGTCTCTGGGGAGCCTCATGGGGGCCTCTCAGGGGGCCTTTTGAGGGGCCTTTTGGGGTCTCTTAGAGTCTCTCGGTCGGCATCTTCGGGGCATCTTGGGGCCGCCTGGGGGCCTGTCGGGGCGTGCAGGTCGAAATGTCCGCTCGGGTCCCCCGTCTGGGCCCGCTCTTGGAGCCGTCTTGGGGGCCTCTTGGGCCTTTTTGGAGGCATCTGGGTCTGTTTTGGGGCCCTCTGGGGTTGTTTTTCGGGCGTTCTCGGAGGCCTCTTGGGCCGTGTTGGGGCGATTTGGGGGGCTTTGGGGGCCGTCCTTGTGCACGGGGAAGCCGAAAAGGCGAGAACGCCGAAATCCTTCAAAAGCCGTGGGAAATTTACTAACTGCTACTTTGGGAGACCCTGTTGGAAGGTCTCTGGGAGGCCTCTTGGGGCGTATGCAAGGCGTCTTGGGCCGTCTGGAGGCCACCTTGGATGTCTTGGACCGGTCGTTCGGTGACTCGGAGCCCTCTTGGACTGTTTTGGGGGCCTTTCGAGGCCTTCTTGGGGCGCTCCTGGAGCGCTCCGGGGGAGTCTGCCGGGCTACAGCTGGGCTGCTCCCGGTGTATGAGGGGTTTGGGGACCCCGAGGGGCCGCCCCGCACGCGCGAATCAGAAATACTGTGAACCAGTCGCTGGAGATCTCAGCACGCCTCTGGCCCGTCGGGCCGGCGAATTCTCCGTTGCATGTTTTACTCCGTGGGCACGCCGCCGCCGCAGACCTCTTGGCATCGCTCGGACGTGTGCATATTTTTTCCTCGGCGAGAACCATCGAGGACCATCCTAGACCATCGAGCAAGGAAAGCACGCACGATGCCGACGAGTGCACGGGAAATGGACGTCCGAGCGGCGCCGTGGACCTCTCCCGGGAGCGTGCGGATGAGCTCTCGGGGGCGCGTCGCCGACCTCTCGGCGAGAGGCCTCGCCGAGGCCGGAGCTCGCGCCACTGCGGGCGCCCCGAGCACGGCCGCGCCCGCGCGGCAGGGCATGCACACGACGGGCGAGCTCGGGGCGAGGCCGTGAAGCCGCGACTCTCCGCGCCTTGGCATCGCTCGGACGTGTGCATTTTTCCTTCGGCGAGGGTCATCGAGGAGCATCCTTGATCCTTTGGCGAACAAAACCACTCACGAAATCGAAAAAAAACAAATACAGGGAATGGACGTCCGAGCGATGGCGAGGCGCAGGCGCTGTCTTATGAGAAAATGCGCGCGCTGCGCCGCCAAGACGCAATGGCGCCGCGCTCTCGGTGAACTCTTCCAAGAACTGCGCGCCGTCTCGCCAGCCCCTTGTAGATATCTCCTCCCTGTCGCACCCCCAGACGTGTCCGCAGGGCGGGCTGGGCGTTCCCTCGCGCAATGAAGCTTGAAAGTTGCAACAGCTTTTCAGTTGGAGGTCGGGTCCAGTGCAACATGTTGTTCTCGCCTGGGCGCCGCGCGCATTCGTTTTAACATTTTGCAACAGCGTCTCGGATGGAGGGCGGGTGGTTTTCAAGACGCTGTGAACGCTGTAGCGCCGAACGCATTAGTCATAACATGTCGCAGCAGCTTCACAACCTCGAGCGGATCCTTTTTCGAGATGTGGCTCTCGCTTCAGCGCCGCGCGTATGCGTTTTAAAAGTTTGCAGCCGATTCAAAGGTCCGTATGGTCAAAAGCCCAGGAATAATGTTCTGGTGCGATTGAGGATTGGCAGGGATCAGCAGTAACGTCGATTCCTCGCGTTGAAGTCCCAGGAATTTTGTTTTGGCACGAGTTGGGACTGTCAGGACGCAGCAGTCACGTTGGTCCGCGGCGTTGAAGTCCTAGGAACTGCGTTTTGTCACGATATGATTATCAGACAGTTGCCTTCGCATGGGCCGCTGCCCGCAGTGACCATCGATGTTTAAGGTACCTGTGAACAGAGGGAAACTGGCGGGGAAAGCTCGTTGCAGCATCGTTGCGTTGCTGCGTCTTGGCCTTGCGCCGGCCCCTCCCTGGCCCACTCCCGCCCCCCACGCCGTCCAGACCGTGCACACTTGGATGTGTCGGGGGAGCGTAAGACCCGGGTTTGCCGGGACTCGGGTTCGCCATCGTTTTTTGACGACCGCGACTCGGATTTTGACGAGGAGGAGTTTTGTGGGATGTCTGCAGCGGGAGGCCTCGTCAAAATGCAGGCTCGGCCTCGTCATTTTTTTGACGACCTCGTCGGGGATTTCCGAGTCCCCCGTACCCGGGTCTTACGTCTCCCCGAATGTGTGAGGATTGTGGGGGCACCGCGAGAGAGCAATTTAGCGCTCGAGCGTGAGAGTGTCGCCCTGATCGGATCACCCGCACCAGGCGGGAGTATCTTCATCGATTTGCTCGTGGGCTCCCCCTAAGGCGGTACGTCGCAGGGGTTGTGAGTAGGCCCTTTTTCTTGTTGCTTCGCAGCCGTTCCGCTCCGCTCCGCTCCCCCCTGAGGACCTGGTCCTGGCCTCGGCCACGCTGCGGCGGCCCTTCCTGGAGGAGTTCGCGGCGCAGCTGGAGGCGGCGGGCTTCTCGTGCTGCGACCGGGACGTGTGCGAGCAGGCCGCCGTGCTGGCCTTCCAGCGGGGCGAGGCGGGCGAGTGAGGCATCCTTCTCCTCCTCCTCCTCCTCCTCCTCCTCCTCCTCCTCCTCCTCCTCCTCGTCCTCGTCCTCCCCCTCCTCGTCCTCCGCCTCCCCCCCACCTCCTCCTCCTCCTCCTCCTCCTCCTCCTCCTCCTCCTCCTCCTCCTCCTCATCCTCCTCCTCCTCCTCCTTCCTCCCGTCCCCCCCCCCCCCTCTCCCCCCACTCCCCCCCTCCCCCTCCTCCTCCTCCTCCTCCTCCACTCCTTCCACCCCTCCTCCTCCTCCCTCCTCCTCCTCCTCCTCCTCCTCCTCCTCCTCCTCCTCCTCCCCCCCCCTCCTCCTCCTCCTCCTCCTCCTCCTCCGCCTCCTCCTCCTCCTCCTCCTCCCTCCTCCTCCTCCTCCTCCTCCTCCTCCTCCTCCTCCGCCTCCTCCTCCTCCTCCTCCTCCTCCCTCCTCCTCCTCCTCCTCCTCCTCTCCTCCTCCTCCTCCGCCCCTCCTCCCCTCCTCCTCTTTCCTGCCTCCTCCTCCTCCTCCTCCTCCTCCTCCTCCTCGTCCTCGTCATCCTCCTCGTCCTCGTCATCCTCCTCGTCCTCCTCTTCCTCCTCCTCCTCCTCCTCCTCCTCCTCCTCCTCCTCCTCCTCCTGCTCCTCCTTCTCCGCCTCCTCCTCCCCCTCCGCTCCCTGCGCGGCGGCGAGGGCGCCGGCTGTGCGCCCGCGCCGAGCCCAGGCCGGGCCGATCCTGGCGCCAGAGTCGGCGCTCGAGCCTTCCGGGCCGCGCCCGTGGGAGGGCGCACATTCCGGTCCTGGTCGCAGGGGGACGAGGAGGAGGGAGGAAGGGAGGGAGGGAGGGAGGGAGGAAGGGATGAAGGTAGGTAGTAGGAGTCGGAGGAGGAGGAGGAGGAGGAGGAGCAGATGGGGAGAGGAGAGGAGGAGGAGGAGGCGGAGGAGGAGGAAGAGGAGGAGGAAGGAGGAGGGGGAGCAGGAAGAGGAGGGGGAGGAGAGGGAGGAGGTTTGAGGAGGAGGAGGAGAGGAGGACGAGGACGAGGAGGATGATGATGAATGATGATGATGTGATGATGATGAGATGATGATGATGACGTGGTTATGATGATGAACTGATGAGTGATGATGAGATGATGATGATGATGATGATGATGCTTATGAGCTTATAGATGATGGATGATGATGATGATGATGATGATGCTGCTGATGATGCTATGATGATTGCGGATTCATGCCACGATCTGCAGGCTGAGGATGAATGCTGATGATGCTAGATGCTCAGATGCTGATGCTGATAGCTGATGCTGATGCCTGATGCTGATGCTGATGCTGATGCTGATCTGATGCTGATGCTGATGCTGTCTGGCTGATGCTGATGCGAGGCTGATGCTGATGCTGAATGCGATGCGATGCTGATGCTGATGCCTGATGACTGATGCTGATGCTGATGCTGATGCTATGCTGATGGATGATGCTGAATGTGGATGCTGATGCTATAGCTGATGCTGATGCTGATGCTGATGCTGATGCTGATGCTGATGCTGATGGCTGATGGCTGATGCTGATGCTGCTGCTGATGCTGATGATGCCTGTGCTGATGCTGTATGCTGATGATGCTGATGCTGATGCTGATGCTGATGCTGATAGCTTGATGCTGATGCTGATGCTGATGCTGATGCTGGATGCTGATGCTATGCTGGATGATGATGATTCCTGTGCTGATGCTGATGCTGATGCTGAGCTGATGCTGATGCTGATGCTGATGCTGATGATGCTGAGAGGAGGAGGCGGAGGAGGAGGGAGAGGAGGAGGAGGAGGAGGAGGAAGAGGATGGGCCTGGCCAGGATCGGTGCACGGTCGGGAGCTTTTGGATAGCGTGTCGTTCCTCGGGCTCTGGCCCCGCACGCTTCGGTGCGACGCGCTGTCTACTTCGCGGTCCCCAGGCGTCCACGTCCCGAGCCTTTCCGAGCTTCCCGCCCCGCGGAGCGGAGCAAAACGCTCTCCGCTCGCAGCGGGTAGCGTGCCGCCGGGGCCGCCGCCGCGACACGCTGTGCAGATGTGCCCGACCGTAGACACCGATCCTGGTCTCCGGGTGAGCCTGGCCGGGATTGGTGTAGGCGAACAGTGGACGTCACCCGCCTGCGCGGGCGTGTGCTGCGTCTGGCCTCGTGCCCGGCAAACTCGGAGCCCCTATCGTCGTCATCGCACCAGATCGCACCATGATCCCAGACCCCTCGACGTCGTGATTTTTCCACAACGTCGACCCCCAGAGGTTTGGACCCTTTCCCCTGGACCAGTTTTTCACCCTGACTTGTTTTTTGACGGTCCCGAGGCCCAGAAAGGGCCCCCGGAGGCGCGAGGAGGTCTGGGATGGTCGGTGCGTCGCCCCATGTGCTTGCCATGGACGCAGGAAAGCGTCGCTCGGTGCTGCGATGGGCACGAGAGAGAGCGCGCTCCCGTGGGCGGCGCCGCCGGCTCCTCCCGCTGCCCACTCCGTCCTTCCAGAGATCCTCCGCGCGGCGGTGCAGCCTCCTCGACCGGCAGGCGCGGGGAGTAGGGGGAGGAGGAGGAGGAGGAGGAGGAGGAGGAGGAGGAGGAGGAGGAGGAGGAGGAGGAGGCGGAGGAGGAGGAGGATGAGGAGGAGGAGGAGGAGGAGGAGGAGGAGGAGGAGGATGAGGAAGAGGAGGAGGAGGGGAGTGAGAAGGAG